GAGGGGAGAGAGAGAGAGGGGAGAGAGAGAGGAGAGAGCGAGGGGAGAGAGACAGGAGAGAGAGGGAAGAGAGAGAGAGGAGAGATATAAGAGAGAGATAAGAGAGAGAGAGAGAGAGAGAGAGAGAGAGGAGAGAGAGAAGAGAGGAGAGAGAGGGGGAGAGAGAGAGGAGAGAGAGGGGGAGAGAGAGAGGAGAGAGAGGAGAGAGATAAGAGAGAGAGAGAGAGAGTCAGAGAGAGAGGAGAGAGAGAGAAGAGAGGAGAGAGAGGGGGAGAGAGAGAGGAGAGAGAGGAGAGAGAGGGGGAGAGAGAGAGGAGAGAGAGAGAGGAGAGAGATAAGAGAGAGAGAGAGAGAGAGAGAGAGAGAGAGAGAGAGAGAGAGAGAGAGAAGAGAGGAGAGAGAGGGGGAGAGATAAGAGAGAGAGAGAGAGAGAGAGAGGAGAGAGAGAAGAGAGGAGAGAGAGGGGGAGAGAGAGAGGAGAGAGAGAGGAGAGAGAGAGAGGAGAGAGATAAGAGAGAGAGAGAGAGAGAGAGAGGAGAGAGAGAGAGAAGAGAGGAGAGAGAGGGGGAGAGAGAGAGGGGAGAGAGAGAGGGGAGAGAGAGAGGAGAGAGCGAGGGGAGAGAGACAGGAGAGAGAGGGAAGAGAGAGAGAGGAGAGAGATAAGAGAGAGATAAGAGAGAGAGAGAGAGAGAGAGAGAGAGAGAGAGAGAGAGAGAGTGAAGAGAGGAGAGAGAGGGGGAGAGAGAGAGGAGAGGAGAGAGAGAAGAGAGGAGAGAGAGGGGGAGAGAGAGAGAGGAGAGAGGGGGAAAAGAGAGACAAGAAAATAGGATATGACTTACATCTGAGTCGATCCATTGTCTGACCTCCATGACGGGTCCTGACATATCATCAACGTCATACACGATGTTCGTTGCAGACACCTCTGCCTTCCTTATTACTCCTACAATACACACCTATGGTCAAAACAAACAAATCAAATTAATCTTTAAACAAGTACATGTATGCAGCCGACTATCTCCAAATTATATCTATTTTCGAGACTACAGTTCATTATAAGCATCCTAGATGTTAAGAGGTAACATCAAAATATCTGGCATGTTTCAATAGCCATGGAACAAAAGAGATCACATTAACAAAGTTTCATTCTAATGTATCATCACAACTACCGTACATATTAGTGTTACATATAGGTTTGTTGAGCAAATGGAATAAAGCATTGGATGTACGTACCACTCTGCACTTTCAAGTAGCATCCAATCTTTCATAATAGTAATAATTCCGCTTTTATATAGCACTTAATACATCTATGATGTCTCTTAGCGTTTTACAGATATACTGTTACCCCGGTCATTGGATTGTGCACAATCTCCGCTCCCTGGGGAGCATTCCAGCCAGGCGTTACTTGGAGCTCAAAACTGTTTGACCAACAATGAAGGTCACATCCTACCGGGTACCCATTTAACACCTGGGTGGAGTGTAACAAGTGCAGGTTAATATCTTGTCAAAGGATATTAGTGCAGTGTCGGGATTCGAACCCTTGACCTTCGCATCTCTAGTCAAGCGCCTTAAAACACTCGACCACGACACTACTACATTTAGTTTATAGTCATCAGATTACCAAAGATGTTTGTGATCACAGAGCCAGCCGAGGATTCCTAGACAGACCCTTCTGATTTCCAACCCACAGTCTCCCCATCCTGACTGACCAAACAAAACAAATGCTTACTAGCAACAGGGATTGAAGTGGCATCTAACAAGAAACTGGATATCCTAAGACTTTCCTGAATGACTCATTTTGTCCAACTCCTCTCCCTGCCACTTAGCAAGATCTTTTCCCATTTCCTAACTTTCTTGGTAAATCCAGCCCACTCTGTCCCATCGTGAGATGGAGCTACGGAACACCGCAGGATCTCTAGCGGTGGCAGCTCACATCCCGTGTCGGATGGTGTCCTGTCCATCTGGGTTTACAATGAAAGACCACTGAGGTAAACCTGGTGTCCGGCATCCTACGAGGGACGTCCATGGACATTAAGGTTAGGGTCAATCATCAAGATTACAGACGGTCCCCCTCAAGGCATTATGATTACTCTGGTTTCTCAGGGGATTACCAGTAGGGACTCTCTAGGATCTTAGGAACTGGCATCACATATTAGGGGTTAATCATCATCTGACTGTGACTGTGCAAATCTTAAGTTAGGGGGTTTTGGAATATTAAAAAAGGATAAACTAGATGGAACTTGATGCCTCCGTCATAGAGCAATTTTACAAACCAAAACAGAAGCAATTTTTCAAATTCAAGTTTGATCGTAATCCAGAACAGGTTCTCAGGATATCGCGATTACAAGCTATTTCTCATATACATGTATGACCCTTTGATCTTTGACCTCATGATCCTTAAATCTAATAAGTTCATTGGCTTTGCAAGATATACATGTCCTAAGTTTGATTGTAATCCATCCGTCAATTCTAATGAGAATGAATTCACAAGCTATTTATGCATGCATAATGAGTCTCATAACCTTCGATCTCATGACCTTAAAATCTACTCAGTTCATTGCATGATACATACATCTCTTGAGTTTGATGGTAATCCATCCATCGGTTCTAATGATAATGCCATCACACGATCCCCTACAATACTCTTGGACTCCGTCCTTTCTCAACATTCACTGAAAATCATTTGCATAAAAATATAATTACCTGATGAATTTCAACATCACCGATTTTGAAATCATTTTCATTCTGTGCTGCCTGCATGATCTGTGCAATGTTACATGGTATGATTTTCTGTGCTCTCTTTGCCTATAGATACAGGGAGAAGAAGAATAAAAATGAATTCAAAGTCTAATACATACCGAAATATGCTAATACCGGTAGTTACTTTTCATCGGATTTACAAAATAATTACCATCTATCTATCTATACTATAATGTTACATTAATATATTATAAATATGCAACGTTTTCTTGCACGAAAAAGCAAAGCAACACAAAACAAGCAAACCATTCATTCATTATCAAGGATACCATATACTTTGTATATATGTTTATACATGTGTTCTTACTTATTCTTTATTGCTGTTATGAATTTTTGTTCATGATTTTGTTATTACTATTATTATATATATATTTTTTAAACTATTGTTCCTCATTATGTTTAACAGGGCCTCATGGAAGACCACCATTATTGGTGATAATGAGTCACCCTGTCTAAATATCAGAAATAAATAAATGGATTAATCTCAGCAAAGGAGAAATTCTTGGAGCTTCTTCTCGACTCTGATCTCAAGTTTTATATGGTCTGTTAACTCATGTCTCGTGGTCCTATGGTTTGTCAGACTGTTTGGCAGCATCATATTTGTGTGATAAAACTTGGCATCAATCAACAGGTACTATAAAACAGGGCCCTGTTCTTATTTTAACCACCCCCAAAAAAAATCACAATTGTGTAAAGTATATCTCTATGAATTTAGAAACATAATTAATATCCTATCATTTAAAAGGTAGTTAGGAAACTATTTCTTCCAAATATCAGATGTTTTTTTTAACCTAGGGAATTTTTTCACAAAGATGGAATACATGAATGTAAGAATTGAAACAAAGTATAATAATTATGATGCAAACAGACCATTACATAAGGCGTTTAAAAAAAAGATGTTGTATTGCCCTTTGCGACCAACCCAAAAATCTTGAAATCTACTGTCGGCTTTTTAAAAAAGTTTTTTTTCACCGTTTTCTAGAAGAAAACAATGTATTAAAGCATTCAAAACTGAGAAATATCAGCCCAAAGAGGGAGAAAAAAGAAGAAGAAAAAACTATTCCGACCGTCCGACCCATGTTTTGGTACCTTAAGGGCGATACAACATCTCTATATTGTTTAGGCCTAAGGAAGAATGATAATGATGTGTACAAACCTTAGACTGTGATGCTCCGACTCCTGGTGAGTTGAATCCTCCCCCTAATCCAGGTGAATTGAAGCCACCTCCTCCCATGCCTTGCCCTCCTTGGTCATTACTAAACCCATCAAAACCTGACAAGGAATTCACAAATATACATTTTTTAACTTGTTAAAGACACAATGGAAACTGATTGAAAATCCTCTCGTACTGAAGACCGAAAGCTGAGGTAATCCAAATCTACAAGCAGTCAAGAGGAATAGATGGTTTGCAGGCACAAACCGTTGACTTGTCACTGTCAGTCGTTATGTGTAACAAGTGTCTTCAAGATGATACAAAAATAGGCTCTGTACGTACTCAACAGAGAAAGAAGAAGATTGGAGATTTGGCTTACAAAAAATCAAAGGAAACAACACGAACAAGGCGATTTTCTCTTACGGTCGCTGACTATTTTGTGTCTAGAGTAAAGGAGGGGGTAATCGACCAGCTCCAGTTTTCGGCCGATCCGTTGGATGCATGATAAAATCCCTTTAAAATACATCGCGTAATAGCACAACGCATATCCCACACATACCATACAATGCCAGAGTCACTGAAGAACCACATTTGCAATGGATATATCCTAAAATATCACATTTTAGCGATGAAATCGGCGGTCCCGCTACCCAAATCTGAAAAATTGAGTATCTTACGCGTGTCTGTAAGAAATATGGGTACCATAAAATGTGCTTTATTTCAAGTACTTTTCAGATTTTGTGTTAGTCGCAAGCTCAAAAGTATCTCATCGCATGTATTAAATCAATGCAGCCGAACACCGCGACGCACACACGATATGTCCGTCTAATTCAGATTCCAATTTCCGATCACCGCAGTGCTAGTTTTCGACCAAGCGAGCACCGGGGAGCTCCGGCGTGGGATACATGCTCTGCCCGATTGTGCTATAGATCAGCGCGGAAACGCACGGCGCGCGCTTCCTATTGACTTTGTACATGCGGTCGTAAACTGGCTCGCTAGGTCGATAACCGGCTCCAAAACAGTGAAAATTGAAATGAATATTGTCATGGCAATTCGTGATTTTTTTTCTGGGATTCTTTATTTGTTTAAATAATAATATTTGCTTCATGATTTGAACAAGAAATGATAATAAATAGGATTTTGTCTTAAGTGGCCGAAAACCGGCTCCTTTACTAACAAGTTGACTTTGTTTTTAGGAAAAATACTCTGAAACAGATAAGAAAATTGACACGAAACAGGTAACAAACATATCGACTTTTAAATCATGACCTTTATTTAGACATTTGATGAATAATTAATTTATTTTGGGTATGTTTTAACTTTTAGTAGGGTCAAATTTTGGATAGACTTCTGAACTAACGGCATAGGCTAGCGCCAAATCAAGACTTGCAAGTACAACTAGTCTCTACAAGTTGCAATTGCAATGTTTGCATGGCAAATTCGAATGTGGTACTGCCTGGACTGGTAGTAGACTAACTGGTAAATCAGTTTATGAATTACATAATCTATCTTTCGTAAGTTTAGAATATAAAAATTGCAGTTTATACATATAATGTCAGTAGTCTAGTACGGAAGACACAAAAACTCTTTGCCTTTGGATTGGCCTCCACAACACACGGCCATGCCATGTCTATTTACTGACGTGACAGAGACACAAATCTGAACTTCTGGGACTGTAGTCTGTGGTATTTGTTGTACATTCCACTATCCTCTCACACACAAACGTAACACATACTTTCACAAGAGTTCAAGGAACTACAATAAAATCATCAGAAAAGACCATTACCTCCTTGATTGTTGAACATATTCGAAAAGTGTTCAAGACGATGGAAATACAAAAGTTGGGATTTATATGTAGAAAAGGCACTTTGAACAAGTCCTTTTGAAACCAAAACAGAGCTTCGCAGTCGAGGTTCGCGGGTTTAGAGACGGCGCGCCGGAATCAAAGAATTGACCAATCATAGCGCTTGTTAGATTGACATATATTATTAGCTAGCGCGCGAAGCATGCGCAGTGAGGTACCGGCGGGGGTACAGGGAAAGTGATAGATTCAATCATTAAAGTAGACACAAAATAGGATCTCTTTTAATTTGCTCAAGAAACAAGTGAAATGCACATTTAAAAAATTCTCAGATTCAAAACCTTTTTCTGAGATCAATCCTAGACCCGGCTCCAGACTTTTTTTTCTAGGGCGATGGGATATATGGTAGACAGAAATAACCATCTAGTATAGGCAGAGGCGGTCCTCCAGGGGGGCAGGGGGGCACAGTGCCCCCCCTCCACTTTTTCAAGCACCCGAAAAGTGCCCCCTTTTACGTAGGAAAAGTGCTCCTTTTACTTGATTTGTAAGAAGCGCCCTTTTTTTTTACATAGAAATAGTGCCCCTTTTACTTTGACAAGTGCCCCTATTAATATGTAAAAGTGCCCTTCCCCTTTTCAACTCTGATGAGTGCCCCTTTTATTTGGACACGTGCCCCTTTTCCTTCGACAAGATCCCTTTTTCCTCTGCAATAAGTGTCCATTTTCCATCATAAGTGCCATTTTTAATCTCTAATAAGGGCCCCTTGTCAGGTACGAGAAGTGCCTCTTTTTACTTTTGATTAGTGCCCCCTTCACCTCTGATAATTCCCCTATTCAAATCTGAGTGGTGCCTCTTTTAATTTGACAAGTGCAACTTTTCCTTTGTAATAAGTGCACCTTCCCCTTTTAATAACTACCCCCATTTTAACTCGGATAAGCGAACCTTATATTTTCAAAAGTGCCCCTTTCCTTTCTAATAAGTGCCCCTTTTCCTAATGGTAAGTGCCCCCGTTAAAAAAAGAGCCACTTCCCCCTTCTTATAAGTGCCCCTCCTCTGACCCTTTTCAGTTACGAGAAGTTACTCCTTTTCACTTCAGATAAGTGCCCTCTTAACCTCCGATAAATACCCTTTAAAATCTGCTAGGTGCCCCTTTTTCATTCACATAAGTGCCCCTTTTCATATCTGGTCATTGCCCCTTTTCAGGTGCGATAAGTGCCTCTTTTCACCTCTGATAAGTTCCCTGTTAACAATGATACTTGCTCCTTTTCTTTTCTAATAAGGGACATATCCCTTTTCATAAATGCCCCTATCAAGATATGATGGGGGGGGGCGCCTTCTTTCCGTCGACAAATGCCCATTTCCTATTCTCATGACTGACTTTTTTCATCCCTGGTGAGTGCCTCTTTTTGAGGGTGTAAGAAGTGCCCCATTTTCACCTCTGATGATTACTCTTTGCTCCTTTTTTCTTTTCTGATAAGTTTCCCCTTTTCCTCTCATCATTAAACGTGCCCCAAACGCATATGTAGATGATTATACTTATGTTACTTATCAAATGGCTTTTCAGTCTTACGTTATGAGAATGTGCTTATAACCCCATCAGGATTGTTTTGTTTTTCCTATTTATAACAATTGTAATTTTTAGCACAGCGATCTCACAAATATTTAAGATTTCCTTGCTCGCTTCGCTCGCTCGCAAATAATTTTTCAGACCATCACACCCAACTGCAAAGCATGATGCTTAAGCAATTATCTTGTATGGTGTATATGGTGAAACAAATATTGAAATCATCCCTGATAATGTAATCACAATGTAGGGATATACCAATGTCTAAAAGATTGTATATTTTCGCTTTGACATTTCCCTTTGAAGGTGCCCTTTTTTCTTGGTGCCCCACCCCCCCCCCCCCCCCCCCCCCCACTTTGGAAGTCGCTCAGCCGCCCCTGGGTATGGGTCATTCTTTAATAATACTGACAATAGAGGTGGTCAGAGGAGCCAGGTGTAATCTCAGTGGAACAGCCGTCGATATCAGAGACTGAAGCTTTCAGTCTAGGGGTGGGAGCATTGCTGCTCTGCTAATGGAAAATAAAGTCAGAGTTCTGTTAATGTAGAAAACCTATATTTTTGTTACTTTGCAATATAGTGACTTTAAATCGATCTTTTTTCATGCAAGGGTCAATATTGTTGATGTTACTGCTTCTAAACAAGATATTGCCTATGAATCATACTTTGCAGTTGGGTGTGATGGTCTGAAAATTTATTTGCAAGCGAGCGAGGAAAATTTTAAAAAGATTTATGAGATCGCAGTGCGAAATTGCATCTTGTAAAGAAGAAAAAAAAACCTGATCCTGATGGGTTTATAAGCCTTTCTTATAGCGGAAGACTGACAAGACCTTTAAAATAAGTAACATAATTACATCATTTTTAAATGCGAGCGAGCTTTGGGGGAAATTGCTCTTAGTTGCTTGAATCAGGGGTGCGCTTATTAAATAATCAGATGAAAAGGGGACACTCAGCGAAAGGGATAAGACATTTATTAGAAAAGAAAAGGAGCACGTGCCAAAGTACAAAGGTTAATTACCAGAGGTTAATATGGGGCACTTATTATACACTTACCAAAAGAGGTACTCACCAGGGATGAGAAAATGCACTTATGAGAGTGGGAAATGGGCATTTGTCGACGGAAAACGGGAATCGATCAGATTTTGATAGGGGCATTTATAAGAGGTGAAACGAAGTATTTATGAAAAGGGGATTCATCCCTTATTAAAAAAGAAAAGGGGCTCGTATCATTTTTAAAAGGGAGGTGAAAAAAGGGCACTTATCCCACCTAAAAAGGAGCACTGACCAGATATGAAAAGGGAAACTTATGAGAATGAAACAGGGGCACTTGTAATACAGAAAAGAACATTAGTTGAAACAAAAAGGGGCGCCGATCAGATTTTAATAGGGGCATTTATCAGGGAGGTAAAAGGGGGCTTTTATAAAAGGGGGGGGGGGGGGAGGTGGCTCTTATTAAAGAAAGAGTGAGAGGCGTGTGCAGGCGCGTACGCAGGGGGGGGGGGGAGTGTTTGGGGGGGTTAAACCCCCCTTTGATATTTTTATGTGTATAAACCCCCCTAAAAAAACCCAAACCCCGCCCCCCTTTGGTTTTTTTTTTTTTAATAATAAAAAAAAAAAAAAAAAAAAAAAATTATTCCTTACCCCCCCCCCCAACGGAGCAAAATGTCAATTTTTCAAATTTCGAGACCTACAAAAAAAGAAAAAAGAAAGTGTCCTCTTACCCCCCCCCCCCTCCCCCCCGCTTATTCAGCGGCTGGCTGAGTCGATGCGAAATTTTCGGCCCGATTTAAAAATGTTAAAACCCCCCCCCCCCCCCCCCCCCCCCCCCTTGAAAAAATCCTGCGTACGCGCCTGGGCGTGTGTCAAAATAAGCTAGGGGCCAGCATGCACTTATACGAGGTGAAAAACGGACACTCATCAGAACACTTATCAGGAGGGGAAGGGGCACTTGACCAAGTAAAACGGGTATCTCTCAGATTTGAATAGGGGCAATTATCGGAGGTAAAGGAGTAACTTCTCGTACCTGAAAAGGGTCATTTACCAGAGATGAAATGGGGAATGGAATTGGAAGGGGAAGGGGTTCTTCGGGGCACTATATTGTCAAAGTAAAAGGGGAACCTCTCAGATGTAAATATAGGGGCACTTTTCCTCTGTAAAAAGGGGCACTTCTTACAAAGTTAAAGGATCGAGCACTTTTCCTCTGTAAAAAGGGGCACTTTGAAAAAATGGGGGGGGGGGGTTGTTTTCTTGTATATCATGCCTACGCTAAAAGCGATAATTGCATTTAGGCATTAAACTTCAGTGAAAATAACTATATCAAGGATTTTGAATGTTCCTGGTTCTATTCCTATTTAGCAACCATAATAATCCTCCAATCGTCAACAAATTCAGAATTGAAGAAATACATTAACTCCCTGTTTATATATAATTTTATGGATCCCAACCGATTTAAAAATTGTAATGGTGGTTAGGAATTCTTTGTTCTATCACTATTTATTGAATAGGGGCTCCATATACTGAGGGGTGAAGGCTCGGAGCTAATTCTGCTTTGCGGGGTACGAAGTTTAAGTATGCCCCTCTCAAATTTTTTAATAATGAGTATTATCTGGTCCCTGAAGACTTACGCGCGGGATCAAAAGGTTTTCTAAGGAACTGATTATCCCGCCAGGAAATTTTAACAAAGAAATCATACTAGGGACTACTTGAAAGATAATAATTATCCCCGAAAAAGTAGGATATGAATAAAAAAGATCAAGAGAGAAAGTTATCGTTCGATGAGTTATGCATGAGGAACTTGTGATATGTAAACAAAACGGCTGCACAATGTTACAATGGTTCAGCGAAATACGTGGTTTCGACGAAAGCTTTTGACCATCCGATAAGACAGAAACGTCATAAAATATTCTGAATTCAAGTTTTTCTAGATTGTAACTTCTCTAATTGACAATGACAAGCAACATCAAATTTTATTTTGAATATAGGATATTATATTTTGTTGGTAATAAATTGTTTAAAAATGCAATTTAAAGGATTAAAAAAAAATATATTAACAAGTTATTTCTTATAAAGAAAATGAAAAGCTCTGGAACGATACAGTACGGCCCACTGGGAAATACTTCTGCATTTGACACCACTAATCATTGTTGGAGACCCACTGCATTGACAATAGAAACACTCAGTGTTGTATCGCGTGGCCATTACTTAGAAACCGGCTTGTGTGTTTTCAATTCGACGATCACTGTGGTGTGGCCAGCAACGAGTCGTAAGTTACCTCCGTACACTTTTTGAATTAAATTTACTATTTGAAATAAGTTCCAAATTTTGGTTATTGATATGGAAATTGGTGTCTGTTGATCGTAATGTACTTTTGCTGGGGTTTTGAGAATGTGCCTCGTCAAATAATGAATGATCATCGAATACCGGTCTTCGACGTTATTTCGCGTTGACCGCTGGGCTGTCGATTTCTTCTGTTGTTGATCGTATTTGTTTGACGTGAATGCATGTGATCAGTCATTCACTGATTCAGTGAATGATAAGCATGCAGTGAGTCTGAGCTTAGCCTTTGATTGGTTCTGCAGGTCGAGATAAAAAAATTAATTAATTGCAAAATGAGAAACCATCATAGATCTAGATCTACATGTAGATATAGATCTAGGTCTAGGTCTAGACTCTATTTACAGTTAGGCGCTGGTCCGAGAATAAGGATCGTTGGCATAAACGAGGATTGTCTTCGTAAATAGTGGACAGGCCGCGCCGGCAAAATGAGGATCGTCAACATTTTTATTTCGATTCTTATTTCCGATCCGCACGTTGGCGATGCAAAAAAACGGTTAGAATTCCGTAATGATTTTCTTGATGCATTTTCACATTGACTTGTACAGGACTTTCACGTTATGAGAGGTAAATCCTTGGTAAGACAGACAACCCATAAAACCAAAAGTAGACGATGAACTGGGGGTATTTTATTACCTAGAATCCGGTTTTTTCGCATTGCCAGCGCACGAATCAGGAACCCGAAATCCGCAGATGACGATTTAGTCGACTTTTGGTATGTTTTAGTAGGGTATCTCCACGCCAGAGTTACTTGTAAGTCAAAGTCTGGATATGATTCTGAACTAGGGCCTACATTTTAAAGTTTTCAGAAATGTTAATTGATACACGAATATCTCAATATCTGCTAAATATCGTTAGAAATCAATCAACGTAACATTTTCGGAAATGGTGCAATCTCAATTCATGTCAGACAGGGACACACAAAGTTTGGTAAAAGGCAAAAAGAAAGAACAAGTCCAAAGTTCATGATCAAGATTTTTTATGGATAATTTATTCAATAAAATTCCTTGAAAGTAACAATGATTACATAAATTGAAAGGCAGAAAATATTTGATTGCATCATGCACAACTCAAAATAGATTGATAGAAAGAAAACAAAGCATAGAGTCTTGGCATTGCTGCCATTCCTGCCAGTGTCAAGGGTATATCAGCTCATGCTGCTGAGTCACTGCAACTGTAGAGACAAATAATCCATTTGGCAGGCTTTCTTTCAATAAGCCAGTTCACGGTTGCAGTCTGAGCATGAGCAGATAAAGGTCATTGCAGAACAAATTGCGAAATACAAAGAGAAGGAATACTGGATAGTGGATACATGCTCATGAAAGTTATGTAATCATTATTCATTCATGCACAAGCAGAGCACTCCATGATACACAGGTGGAAGTATTCTTTGAAAAGGGGAAACAAAGGCTAAGCATGTAGCATCTCCATCGCTGTAGGATTGTTTATTTCAAAATGTACAAAGTGGGACCTCTTCATGTTTTGAAGATCTGTGGCACTTGATCTGTGGATATTCGGGGTCATTGCATCCATGTGCTAACCATGAACTGGTGTATTGTAGAAAGACCCGTTATGGAGACTTTGGCTTACAAAAGAGGAAGAAGATAAAACAAAAATCGTTGCATTTTCTCTCACCTAAATTTTTGCCTCATTGAGGTCAGGAGCCAATTGTATTTGTGTCTGGATACCGGATAACCCAAAACTAACATAGATGGCGAATAAGTAAGGTTGTCCAAAATTGTTGAGAGCAATCTTCTTTTCACGTCGAGCCAAGGACAAGGTGGCAAATTGATGTCCTATTAATGTGAGGCTGTGTGGTCTGTGTCACAAATTTGGAAATTTGGAATGAATATGTCCCTGCTACTGGCACCGCCATTGAACTTCACTCATGAGTCAACCAAAGTAATCCACTCATAATACATCATTCAGCACCATGTATGCCGGGCCATGTCATGATTCATAACTTCTTGTCTGAATCTGAACTACACACAATTTATGTACCGTAATTAACATTGTATAAACCGCCCTCGTGTATTAACCGCACCCCTCTTTTTTTTTTCTTTTTTTTGGCCGACTTTTTTTTTTGCCGACTTTTTTTTTGCCGACTTAAAAAACAGTAGAGGACCTAGGACAGAACCTTGTGGTACGCCGTGTAATAGAAGAAAAATTGGAGGAATTATTTTTATCAACTACATATTGAAATCTATCAGAAAGATTACTTTCAAACCAAGATGACAGACAAATTTGAGTGTTGTTCTAGTTTCCGAGTGGTGAGTCAACACACCGATTACTGAGCTGGGAGACATTGCCAGGCATAGCGCCAGGTGGAGGGGCATAAAACGAAACTTTAATTTTTTCTTTTGTTTTTGTTTTGTGTACTGTGTGTAAACCCCACCCCCGACTTTGAATTTTTTTCGGCGGCAAAAAGGTGCGGTTAATACACCGTTAATTATGGTACATGTAGATCTTCCTTAAAAATAAGTCATTGCCAATAGAGTAAAACTTGGGAAAAGTTATTGTACAATCGTTCATCCTGATAAGAATTTAAAAAAAAATTAAATAGAATTAAAAGCAGAATAATGAATGAAAGAGATGGGGAAATCTGATATAAGGTTAAAAAGTTACGGATTCAGATAAGAAAGTAACTGATTTCTAAAGTTGTCATCGATCAAACACAAATTTGCGATTCCATGATGAACATCTCTCCAATAAAACTTCAAAACTTCCCTTTCCTTGGCTGGTCAAGGATTTCATCTACATGTACTTCAGAAAGGGGTTATAAATGTAAAGACATGCACAATATATCCAAATGAATGTACAGAGTTGAGATCCTAACTCCCCAAAATCTGGAAATGTTTAATTTCCAAATTTGTTTTTCAAGCAGTGTTTGGAAAGATTAATGCTGCTCAATCCAAGTACATTCTTTTAATAAGGTTAGATTTCTACTTTGTGCCAGTGATGTATCAGACACATGTGTAGAGGTGTCATACATGTACATGTAGTTGAGCGGTTTGAACACTTCACTTGAGGTATGAATGATAATCTACATATGAAGAGTTTCATTCCAAAAGGAGCTAAATCCATGTTTGTAACTTCGGAGAAAAAAGCCTTTGTTTACCAGATTTTGTACAGGCGTCTATGGAAAAATGATATTAGAAGTTGCATTTTTTTCATAATTGCTCCAAAAATTTAAGTAAATAATTTTGTTCAAAGACGGGTACTAAAGTGAACAATGTTCTGATATCAATAACTCTATTTTCATCAAAAGTGGATTTAACTCCTTTTGGAATTAAGCTCTTCATATATGTGCCACTCTTCCCCAGGTGTTAAATGAGCAATGGTAGAAAGGAAATTGGTAGCCTAGCTACGGCCAGGGTAATATTAGAATGCCTTGTATGTTTGAGCCCCTTGCACACTGTTGATATACCTTGACCTTGACCTAAGCCTTCCACACCATCTGGGAGATGTGTGATGGCTTCTGCTTCATGACCTCAAGCCAGGTCTTCCTATCTTGTGATGTTCTAGTCGCTTCCGTGAGGGATCTTAGACATCTAGTAGCACAATCAGCCTTCTCACAATCTAACCATTTCTTAGCTGGTCTGTTGATAAACATGAGTGCTATAAAATATCCATTATCATTATTCTTTTTCTTTCTTGATGCCACAGATAACCATTGACCATTCCTTCTAGACAACCGAACGCCATGGCTGACAACAAGGATGGTGATGATGATAAGATCTACGGGGGCTGCGAAGGGCCTGACGCCATGTACGTCAAGCTGGTATCATCGGACGGTCATGAATTTATTGTGAAACGAGATCATGCCCTCACATCGGGCACCATCAAAGCTATGCTGAGTGGACCAGGTAAGTAATCAATCATAGAGAGCCCGTCTTCTTCTTCTTTCCGTGCCATGTCCTCGGACATTGGGGACCATGGAGTGCCACAACTCTCTGTCCCATATTCTATCAAGTAATTAATTCTCCCTGAGATCAATTCCACTTTTAGAAATCCCACTCCTTAAGCTACTCATCCACAGAATCCTCCATCTAGGGATTTTAACATGGAACAGTGTCCAGTTTGAGTTTTGGTACATGTTACATGACAGGTTTGAAAATGAGCGACAGGTCAAAACATCAAAAGGGGCCCAGCAGAAAAAAAGGACCCCTAAGAAATTTCGACCTTTACCCCAAGAAAAGTCAGGACTTCATAGTGGTCCACAAGGGTTTTTAACATGGAACAGTGTCCAGTTTGAGTTTTGGTACACGTATGACAGGTTTGAAAATGAGGGACAGGTCAAAACATCGAAAGGGGCCCAGCAGGAAAAAAAGAACCCCTAAGAAATTTCAACCTTTACCCTCAGAAAAGTCGGGACTCCCGAGTGGTCCACAAGAGTTTTTAACAGGGAACGGTGTCCAGTTTGAGTTTTGGTACATGTATGACAGGTTTGAAAATGAGCGACAGGTCAAAACATCGAAAGGGGCCCAGCAGAAAAAAAAAGAACCCCTAAGAAATTCCACCCTTGACCCCAAGAAAAGTCAGGACTTCATAGTGGTCCACAAGGGTTTTTAACATGGAACAGTTTCCAGTTTGAGTTTTGGTACACGTATGACAGGTTTGAAAATGAGCGACAGGTCAAAACATCAAAAGGGGCCCAGCAGAAAAAAAGGACCCCTAAGAAACTTCAACCTTTACCCCAAGAAAAGTCAGGACTTCATAGTGGTCCACAAGGGTTTTTAACAGGGAACGGTGTCCAGTTTGAGTTTTGGTACATGTATGACAGGTTTGAAAATGAGCGACAGGTCAAAACATCAAAAGGGGCCCAGCAGAAAAAAAAAGAACCCCTAAGAAATTCCACCCTTGACCCCACGAATGCAATTTACCTTGGATGTCAAGGACAAAATGTTAGATTGTGGCCACGCTGGTCTTTTAATATGAATATTTGGTACAATATTTGATTTGATCCTACTGCTAATAGCTTACCTGATCAGCAAACTTCATTTTCTTTTCTTTCCTTTCAAATTTGATTGAATGTAGTCTACAATGAGCTTCACTTGTATACAGCTAATTCCATAAATAAGGGACCCACTTTGTGACATTTTTGGTGTCCCACTTACATTTAAGGAACCCACACTTATTTGTGGCTCTGAGTAAAGACTTGAATAAATGGAGTGAGATTGTAAAGTGATTTCCAAGCATAATATTGCATCCTCATACCTAGAATCACTTAACAATCTCACTCTATGCGAATTTATCAACACACAAAAATATTGGCACCTCATCATTCCGGAGCGTGAAAATATCAGTATAATTTGATGTGCTTGCATCCCCTCTCGATCGCGAGCGATGTTTGTAATGTAATGCTGTCCCCTCCCGCCCGCGCTCTCCTTCTCTCCCTGTGCGTATATATCGCACATATTACGCGTAATCCTTGTATCGGTAGGGTACTCGGCTAGCTGTATGTGGTGCGAGGGGCTGCCTAAACCTGTGTGTGTACTTACGTGACCAAGTCTGTGTGTGTATGTGTTGGTGTGAGAAAGTTAGTGAATACTTCATGCCAATTCATTAATTCCAGTGGCGGATCCAGGGGGGGGGAACAGGGGGCACGTGCCCCCCCGGCCAAAAAAAAGAAAAGAAGAAAAAGGAGGGGGAAAGAAAAAGGAGAGGAAAAAGAAAAAAAGAGAAGAGAGAAAGAAGAAGAAAAGAGGGAGGAAAGAAAAGGGAAGAGGAGAAAAAGGAGGGGAAAGGGAAAGAGAGAGGAGATAAAAGGCGGAAAAAGAAGAAAGGCGGAAAGACGGAGGAGAGAAAAGGGGGAGAAGGAGAATGATGAGAATGGAAAAGAAAGAAAGGGGGATGATATTATAAGAAGGTGTTTTTTACCGGGTAAGGGGAGGGGGGGGGGGGCATGCAATTTTAAGTCGAACATGACTAATACCAAAGATTTTATCTCCTTTATGTTTCTAACTTATAACTTAGTCTTGAATTAATTTTCCGATATACCTATTCTAAGTGCTCTTTCAGCATGCAGATTGTCCCCGCCATTAATCCTGTCACCATTGCTGGTTTCATTGTCATGTTATTTTCTGTCATCCCTGTGGCCGCGAAGTTTCTATCCATTTCGCAAGCACTTTTTTTTCCATCGCCTACATGTAATGCTTATTGCTTCCAGTTTGCGAAAGATCCCAGTGGCGGATCTGTGGGGGGATGGGGGAGGGGTTAGGGGGTTTAACCCCCCCCCCCCCCTGGGCTGCCAAGTGAAAATGTGATATGAATAGAAAAACGCCATCATGTGTCCAGACCCACACAGTATCCACATCCTCATCGGGTCAAACCCCTTAAACTGTTACTTGATTTAAAAAGATGTTATCGGGCACTGCTTTTAATGGTCTCCACTGTGTTAGTAGATGCCAGGAAAACATCACTTACGGGGGTTCAAAATAGCAACAACAAAAATCGCCTCGCCGCTATGCGGCTCGGACTTCGCGGCTCGTGGACGATGCTTCGCATCGTCATGGGTCGAACTCCCCTTAAACTGTTACTTGATTTAAAAAGACGTTATCATGCACTGCTTTGTATGGTCTCCATTGTGTTAGTATATAGATGCCAGGAAAACATCACTTACGGGGGTTCAAAATAGCACCCCAAAAAATCGACTTGCAGCTACGCTGCTCGTGAACAATGCTCTGCATCGTCTTTGGGTCGACCCCCCCTTAAACTGTTACTTGATTTAAAAAGACGTTATCATGCACTGCTTTTTATGGTCTCCATTGTGTCAGTAGATGCCAGGAAAATATCACTTACGGGGTTTCAAAATAGCAACAACAAATAAAATCGCCTCGCCGCTTCGCGGGTCGTGTACGATGTTCCGTGTTGTCATTGGGTCACCCCCCCCCCCCCATTAGCAAAAAGCCAGATCCCATCATCCGTCCCTGGATCCCTACTCTTTGAGGGGTAGGAGAAAGCAATTTTCTGTCATATTACTCCAGGAAGTGCCTGAAAATGCACCTAATGTGGTTCTAAAATTGCAAATGCTTCCTACTCAGGGAGGGGGTTCTGACCCCAGACCCACCCCCGCTTGGTCGCTCCGCTCCCTCGCCGCTGACGCCTCGCTCCATCGTTTGTCATATATTTCACCCCATGCGATTTTGTGCCCCCCCCCGGTAAGAAATTCCTGGATCCGCCACTGAATTCTGCTGGGTGCTATTCGCGATAGCAACGACTCGCGAAAATGTCTTTGAGCCTATCATTCGCAAAAATATCAGATTATACAGTAACATTTTGCAGCTAAAGGGACAAAGGAAAGTTGGACTGTGATTAAAGGGCATGCGCAACTTGTCAGCATGCAGTTGTTAAAGAGGGATATATTTTGTATTTCTCAGTTCATGTCAACAACACATGGCCATTAATAAATGACATAGTCTGGATATATCAATTTACACCTAAATTTTTTTTTTCAGGACAATTTGCTGAGAATGAAACAAATGAAGTACACTTCAAAGAGATCCCGTGAGTATTTTGGTTTGGACCTTTCATTGATTTTTTTAAATGATAAAAAATACATTTCATTTAAAAATTGATCTTCAGTTTAAAGATATAAATATATACAACTGACTTAAAAAAGTATGTTTTTTCTGTTTAATGGGGGAAAAATGTGATTGGTCTATGTTTTTAGTGTTTATTTTTTACATTTTATTTAGGTAAATTGTTCTTGGTGAAGTCCATTTCTAATTCTTTCTTGCCAGTTTACTATGGCTTGAAAAGATTCGCTTTTGGACAACATTAAATTCCAGCACAAAGAAATTTTATGTTCTACATACATGTATACATGATATGAAAAAAGTCTTTTCTTTGTGCACATATCTGATCTATAATGAATTAAAATATGTAGACATTTTAAATTAAAGTTACCGTAAATATCCGTGTATAAGGCGCACCCCTATTTTGGGGGCGCAAAAAAAAAAAAAAAAAAAAAAAAAAAAAAAAAAAATTGTTTTTTGTTTTGTTGTTGTTGTTGTTTTGTTGCCGAAAACCCACGCGGGGAAGGACCTTCATTTTACATCGAGGTGCAGTTGAAGTTGTGAACTTGTCACAATTAATAGTAACAACAGTCTAAGGCTTCATGATACCAAGTGTCCCACACCAGCCTCCTCACATCACCTAGCAGAAGCAGTGTGTTCTATGCCAAACATCAATAGTCATGCATGATCTATTAGAAAGATTACTTTCAAACCAAGATGACAGACAAATTTGAGTGTTGTTGTAGTTTCCGAGTGGTGAGTCAACACACTGATTACTGAGCTAGGAGACATTGCCAGGCATAGCGCCATAAATCGAAACTAAAAAAATTTTTTTTTCTATACCTGTGTATAAGACGCACCCCCGACTTTCAAATTTTTTCGGCGGCAAAAAAGTGCGTCTTATACACGGAGATTTATGGTACGCCATTATGTTATTTGTAGAGATAAAGGTTTAGCACCACCATGCTACATCTGCTTGTTAATTGCTGCTTGTTATTAATTGTTCGGCTATGTTCATATCCGCCTTGGGTATAGTGCTCGGATACTCTGTTTCTTCAGTGTGTTTAAAGGAGCTACACAAATAAAATTCACTAACAACTCATAATTAGAACAAATTACATATGGATGGAAAGATTTTCTCTTGAAAAACACGAACAATTTGCTGAGAAATCATATAGATACCATGGAAAGGAGTAAAATGCAATTATTCAAGACCCTCCTTAGACCCTCAAACGCCCCTGAACGTAAGTCAAACACACAAGCGTAGCGAGCTCTGAATTGTGACGTCACACACTGAACAAACAGCTCATTATGTGATGTATGTGACGCCACAAATATTGACGCTCTACAAAGGACTGCTGAAGGCAGAAAATCTGGATCTCAAAACTAACGTTTTTGAGAGTTGATTACCGCGGGCCCCAAACATATTTTGAAGAGAAGAGTTGTTGTATTTGAACAGCAAGTCTTCCCCTTCGCAATGATATGAGTTTTGCATCAATTCAAAACACTTTTGATTCTTTGTGTGGCTACTTAAAAGATAAAGTTGTGTTCTGGTCATGGGGTTGAATTGTGAAAGTAACGGTGTGGAATCGGTCAGAAAAGGTTGATCATGTATGTACAAATGTAAGTATTGTTGAGTACTGCAAGGTTCTGGAATCATCAAAATGATAAGAAATTTGGCCAAGTCTTGGTTTAAAGGTAATACAAAGTTTTGGGAAATTTTGAAATTGGGTGGATAGTGATTCTTTACAATTTTGATATATTTGGATGCCCCTGTAGATGTATTATAAGCGCTAGAAAATTTAGCCCCTAAAACAATTCTGCTTTCAAGAAAAATTGAATATAACAATTTACCGGTGCTCCCGGTAAATTTTGGTGAATTTTTAAAGAGCGCCTACAGCCGTATAATGGTAGCTGCAAAGATGAAAATCTAAGACTATGTAGTTGTGATATATAATTTCTAAACGGGAATAGCTAATCGGTCGATTTTAGTCAAGAAACATTGTTTTATAGCTTAATTAATATCTTGACCTTGAGAGGGAGCAATACAACATAAAGTTAATTATTTACAGTTCCATAACTTTAGGCTTGATTTCAAACGCGACAACGATCACTGAATATTGTAGGATCGCTTATGCTTCCAACATGTTCATTTGAAGCAAATTCATAACCCCATACCAAAACTTTGTATTACCTTTAAAGCCCAAGTCCACTCCAAAAATATTTTTTTTTCAATAGAACCAAAAAAATCAGACAAACCAATCAAAAAAATTTGAGCAAACTCAGATAACTAATAAGAAAGTTATGAATGTTTAATGACATGAAATACTTTGAAAATCACTACACAAATTGGCAACTCACTCATGAGTCTGTGATGTATGGTCCTCACTATCCACTAATTATTTTCTTTATATTGATGATATAAATTTCCTATTTTCACCCAAAGAATCTTATTTCTTCACACCAGCATCCAAGTTAGATTGTTAGTCATGTGTTTTTATGTGGATGTGGGTCCACTTAAATCATGAAAAATTGAATTTTGATAAACTATTTATATAAAATCAATAATTATGAATAAACAATATTCAGAAAATAGTATCAATTCTTCAAAATTCATAAAAGTTTTTGGGAAATGTCATGCATGCAATATGATACAAGTCATATAACCTGGGCAAAGACATGGGGAAATCAAGTTTTGGGGGATAAAAAGGGAAATTAATGTGATTAAACTATATAAAGCAATTGATAAGTTGTGAGGACATGACGTCACAAACTGATAACCATCTTGTCAATTTGTGTTGTGATTCTCATTGTTCCATAGTTTTACATACTTTTTCAAAAATTCATAACTTTCTTATTAGTTATCCGATTTAGCTCAAACCTTTTTTGATCGGTTTGTCTGATTTTTCTGCTTTTAATGAAAGTAAGTTATTTTTCGAGTGGACTTGTCCTTTAAGTACCGTAAAAAGCACTGTACACAGAAGTATGTATACCGGACTACATAAACATGATGTGGCATAAAAATAGGCATAAAAATGCAGCCCACAGTTTTAAGCTGTTACTTTTCATAGATGCTAACATCTTTCCATAATTGTTAAGTCCAACTTAGCGATAAGTTCAACTTAGGATCTTTGTGAAACACCCTCCTGGGCTTTTAGGGGATATTGTTATGTATCCACAACTTTTCTTGAATGTTCATTAAGCTAAGCAGTTATTTAGTTCTTCGTATCTATTAATTATTCTGACTTTTTTGTGGGGGAAGGGGTGTACTTTATCATAGAACATATTCCATGAAGAGAATTAAATGATTTTTTGTGCTGATTTTTGTTTATTTAGATCCCATGTGCTTTGCAAGGTCTGCATGTATTTCACGTACAAGGTCCGATACACCAACAGCTCCACAGAAATCCCAGAATTCCCCATTCAGCCAGAGATTGCCCTTGAACTCCTCATGGCTGCCAACTTCCTGGATTGTTAGGTCAAAGGTCAGAGGTCATACCATCCCCCAAGGCGAGCGAGCAGACAGACTGAAGAGATCAACGAAACAACTTCTTTTCTTTGTTTGTGAGTTGCGTGTCAGAAACTATAGGCCTATTACATGGTATATAAATATTTTATAGAAAATGGCCATATAGAAACAATACAAACAAAGTAATTAAGAGCTGAATTTTCATGATGGATAATTTATAGGTGCATACATCTATTTTACAATCAGAGTATAATGTAAAGTCCATGACTCATGAATGCTTGAAGGAAACAAAACATAGGCTAGCTATATAGCAGTCTTTAACAACTTTAATTCAGTTATTGAATGTGGTGAAGAAGGATTGATGTGCCCATATTCTACCCAATATTAATGCATATTTTTTTTCTTTAAAGACAGCAGGGTCTAGATACAGAAAAACATATACGGTCTGTTTAGATGTGACTTTGAGGGTTAATATGCCAGCCATATTCTATCGAAAGCACATTGTATATGGCTGTGTTTAGATGTGAGGTCCGTGAGAGAGGGAGAATAATTAAGTTGAATCAAAGATTTATACATGCATGTTTGGTATAGCAAAGTAGTATATGATGAAGGTACAGTACATGTGTAGGCATAGATCTTTTCATTTGGCTTGAATGGAAGGCTCCACAACACCAGGATAAATAGTCTAATTTTGTTGTCCAAATTTTGCTAAAGATTATAATATCAAATTGTAATGTTATGCCCCGATTATAACAGTATTTTAACTACTGACAGGCTACCCTGTTGATAATACTACCTAATAAATAAATCATCTTCTCAGCGCCAAAAGGACATTAACTTTTATACTTTTGCATATGGATAATGCCCTTTTCGTCCTATGCAGATGATATGATTAGGTTGGTAAAAAGCTCTCTGTAAAGTTTGCTGTGTTTAGAATGTATACGAGGTAAAAACATTGATGATAAAGACATGGCTCTTTTTTTCTATTCTAGGAAGTCTTATGTTCAGGTAAAATGAAAATATGATCGTACTACATGTAATTCCAAGCAAGCTCCAATTTAATGCATGAAACAATCACTTTTATAGGAAATGTATCTCGGCTCGTAATTCTAGAAAATAGAAATTATGTAATATATAAAACAAGACAATGTGGGTATTAAAATGAATTTTAATCCTTTAAGTGCATAACTTATGTTGATGACTTTTGGCTAGTTGTCATTGTTTTACATTTTGTTAGTCAAAACAACTAATTACTGCATGATTTTGGATTAATAATGACTTTTAGACAGTCTTCTAAAAACATTGATAACTTACCAGAACCCAAGAATTCCTTAAAACAATCTTGATGTTAGAGTAAAACTATCGCATCGGGATACTTGCCTATTTTTTACACATAGCCTAGGATTGTTGATATATTTTAAAGAATGTACGTACGGTGAATGAGATACTTAATGTCTGTGCATTATATTGTATAAATGAGGAGATGCTGATTATATTCAACATAAAAATTTGGACTCGGTCTGTCGTCAAAAAAGTGCATTAAAATCTTTAAAAAATGCTTTCTCAATGCTACATAGGTTGTACATATGGCTAAGGGCCGGACTATAGTAGAATGTTATGAAAACCTTTTCTACATGTATATCGATTAAATGTAGCACCACAACATATTAAAATTAAGTATGTAAATGTTTAAATGCTGTGGACTTTAATGTGATTTGCCTATGAGGGGGAAGAAGGAGAAAATGTTGATTATTTCAACAAATATGGCATACGGTATACACATTTTTTCTATCAAAAACAATATAGAAAAAGGGGAAAATGCTCTTATTGAAATGCTGTTGAAACATAATTGTGGTAATAATCAATGTTTCTTACTCACAATTGCTGTGTATTATTGGAATGTTACATTTCCTCTTATATTCTGTATAGAAGGTATTTATTCGCATTGCTAGAAGTGAAAACAGTTTATCACAAACTGTACACATTACATTCAGAGCTTGAATACATGTAATGCGAGGCAGCACTGCATGTATCACATATTACATATCAACCAAGAATGAATGAATGTACATCTACATGAAATGTACGCCTTAGACTCCAGAGAAATCATCATAGTCCCATGTATTGTTTTTGAAGAGGTGCTAGATGCTTCACATGACTAGTGTTTTGAGACTGGCATCAGAATGCCATCCCAGAAAAAAATACAAATAACCAAGTTATACAATTACAATGTCATTTTGGGGGGTAAGAAATTTGTCAGAGTGTGCATCGACCAGGCTAGAAATATCCTTTGACCCATGTGCTAGTCATGTTATTTCTACCTACATGTATTTGTAATAGATATAACATATAAAGGGACTCTGATGAAAAGCATTTTAAAGCCTATCTGCACTACTTTGGCCAGGAGGGATTAGACCTCCATGCGTGGTCACTGACAGGTAGTTATCTCATTAAGTCAGCTCTCAATTAACAGAAGAAAAAGGCGATCATGGGGGACCATCAGGTACCGCTTAGGCATTGTTTAATATATAGAGGGCCCAAGTAGCTACAAGCAGTCCATTCCCACTTAAAGACTTAGGGACAACACTCCAATTTTAAGAAATAGAGGATGGAGGGAGTAAAGCGATTGTACTGATTGAAGTGCCTCATAAGAGAAACAAATTAATTCTGTTTTTTCAGGAAGGGGGAGGGGGAGGGGGGGGGGGCTATTGACCTTACATACACATGCTCCTAGGAGGGATATTTTGTCAATGTAGCACATGGTTTGAATTATCTTATGAGCCTGTTCTAGTCTAAGTGTAGTGTATGTAGAAGGTTGAACTGTAACAAAATTCACCTCGGTGTCGTAATACAGGAGTACTGTTTCAACCAGCTTAAATGAATTACAAGTATCCTGGATCAACTGCTCTGGGCTATAATGATGGGATTATGAGTGCAGGTGGCAGCAATGGAAGAGGGTGAAACGATAACTAAAGAGTCTAGATGGATGGAAGATTCAAGAAAAAAGTCTTACCGTCCGTATAAGATGCAAAATTCGGATTTCTGTCATTACATGCAATTTGAATGTACAAGAATCTTGGCAGGGCCTACATACATGTTACAAGAGACTATGGTGGTAGTTGTCGCAGGCATTGGTTGTTTTTCCACCAGTCGTAAAAGGGAGTTTCAATCCATTACATTTTAAGAAACGCAACGCAAATTGATCACTCTGACTTGCATACTCATGATCATTCAACGAGTTGTATGCAGCATGTTTTGCGTGGGTTTCCAATACATGAGTAGAAACATAACAAATGAATATACCAGCTAATTTCCTGCAAAATCAGCCACAGTAGGAGACTCTGGGTATTCATAAGGAAGAGGATTGAATAATCACAATAATTGAAATCAAAGGCCTGAATTCACAAATGAGGTTTAACATAACCCATGGACTACTAAACCCTCATTCACATACCCCATGGTTTAAAAATTAGTTGCAAAATAAGCGTACCTTGCCTTGTGCGGGTCTAATATTGGACCTCTGAGTGTGTCGCGCTTATTTTGCGCTAATTTTAGACTGGGTTATGTAAATGAAGATTTGAATTTAAACCTTCTTTGTGAATTCGGGCCAATATGTCTGTAAATTAAGATCTTCTTTACTGTACATAAAAAGATATATGAGCTAAGACAGTGATCAGTGAAAATACAAGATTATCTCAAATTATTTCTCATAATAACAAATATAAGCGGAAGTTTCTTAACTTCCTAGCAAGTAAGCCTCTGAGGTTTTAAATATCACAGTAACCAGGGGAGGAGATTTTTTTTCTAGTCTAGTCTTTTTTTGCACTTGTGTATGTTTGTGTATTTTGTATTTATACAGTGTGAGTGCTGTACCCAATATATTTGTGTATCACAATTCCACTTATCTTTTAAAACTGGAAACTGAAGCATGAAAAACAACACAATGTTTACTGATAGAGTATAATTGCATTGGAACAAATCATACACAACTGTGTTGGTAGAGAGTGAGTTATAATAGAACAATTATAGTCGGAACTAACTCAAAAACCAAGACAGATATATATATATAGTAAGAAGAAAAACAAAACAAGTTTTGATATTATTACAAGTTGATGAGTAACCTCACTATTCATTGCATAATTTTAAAAGCCTTCAATATAATAGTAAATACAATGTTCATGTAGTATACTATTCAACACAGTGTGGTATTATTTTCATGTAGTTGAACTAGTGTAGTAATTTGTGTACTATTAACATGTATACTATTCACAATGAAGTCATAGTGCATTTAGCAATCTTCCAAAAGGATGCTTTTAAATTTTATGCAAAAGTAATTTAATTCAGTATATCAGACATGTCGATCAGATGCTAGTAGATTATAATGAATTCATTTTTTATTTTTATTTGTAACTGCTTATTTGTGAGTCAATGTCATTACAAGTTTAGGTTAATTTTATATTCCAGTGCATTTTGTTTTATACAAATGAATTGAAAATACATGTACATGTATTACTTTAACCTTTTTTTCACCCCTTATATATTTTTCTGTTGTAACACATGTTCATTTCATTGTGGTGATTGTGATATGGTTCTTTTAAGTTATTTTGTAATGCAATAATAAAAATTGTTTCTAGACTTTTTTCCCTTTCAATTGAGATTGTTATCCTGTGTTTGTCTTGTTGTTCAATGACTTCAATCTTTTCACTTTCATCAACATGATATACTGTGTAACCTGTTTCGGAAGGGTTTTATTATTATCACATATTGTTATAGAATCATGAAGTTTACATACTGGTAATACAATAATAAGCCAGCAATGCATGTAAAGACATATGTAGCCTGTAATATCTGTGTCCTTATCTTCTGCAAAATTATTGCACATGAACATTTTAGGTTATACAAGTTTAAATTGAAATCCATCCTTGATAGTAATATGGTGGCCCTGAAGGGACATCGCGAATAGACTAAATCGTGAAAAATATGCGATAAAATTCACGATATCGTCAATTTTATCGCATATTTTTCACGAAGAAATTCACGAAATTGACGATATCGTGAACTTTATCGTGAACTTTTCACGATGAAATTGACGATATCGTGAATTTTATCGTGAAAAGTTCACGATATAAAGTTCACGATATCGTCAATTTTATCGTGTACTCTATCGTGTACTCTATCATGTACTCTCCTGACGGGCGCTTCGTAAACAAAACCAGCCCTAGCTGGGGGAGACAGAGAGAAGGAAAAAAGGGAAAGGGAAAGAGAAGATAAAAGGAAAGAAAGAATAATAAGAAGAAAAGAGGGAAACGGGGGGGGGGGCGAAGGGTTCTTGCCTCCTCACTCCCCCCCCCCCTCCCCGCCAAAAAATAAATCAGAGAGAGAGAGAGAAGGGAAAGGGAAAGGGAAAGAGAAGATAAAAGGAAAGAAAGAAGAGGAAGAAGAATAAGAAAAGAGGGAAACAGGGGCGAAGGGCTCTTGCCTCCTTTCTTTTCTTTCTTTTCCTTTCTAATAGACTAAATCGTGAAAAATATGCGATAAAATTCACGATATCGTCAATTTCATCGTGAAAAGTTCACGATAAAGTTCACGATATCGTCAATTTCGTGAATTTCTTCGTGAAAAATATGCGATAAAATTGACGATATCGAGAATTTTATCGCATATTTTTCACGATTTAGTCTATTAGCGATGTCCCTTCAGGGCCACCATATAGTAATCTACTCTAGAACAAAGCCAAAAAAATCAGAGAAGTATACTGATGAAAGTTTGAATGAAATCAGACAAAAAATGAGAAAGTCATGATTTTTTGAAAGTTGCAATCACTATAGGTATGTCCTCTTCAAATTGGCTAAATCAGTAATGTCCATGTTATGTAGTGTAGGACAACTTTCCAATTTGTTCCAACACACAAAATGACCAAAATTTCAATTTTTCAAAAAAAAAATTATATGTTCTTTTTAGAGGACCTGTAATGACATACCCTCCATAATATTTTGAGTAGTGCCCCAAGGGTGAATATAGAAATTAGTGATATTTTTGTACATAACAAAATAAGAAAGTTATCCGCCACTACGTCACAATCCACTGACAATCTTGCGATCTTGATTGCGATATAGTGATCTCATACTTAAAATTTATTTCAAACTTTTGCCATTTTATTTCTCTGATTTTTCTGCTTTCATTCAAATGAACTTATTACAAGACTTTGTTCGACTATATAGCCAGGTGCAACAAACCAGGGCAGCGTTTCATAATACCGTCATAAGTTCAAGTTTGCAGACGACCCATTGGAACAAGTGTATTAAATTTAACACGCATTTCAATGGAATGTCTGTGAACTTGTACCCCTGACGGTTTCGTGAAAGTTGTGAAACGATGCCCAGTTACCCAATTCTTTTAAAGTAGTTTGCTATTAGGGTTAGATTTCCCTGCAACTCTCAAAATAACATAATTTCCTTGGGACCATGAAGTTTGTTGTAATAGGTTTTGACCCAACAACATCGCTTCTGCTATTCCAAGTGTCGATAATCCCCCCCCCCCCCCCTCAAGAAAAAAACAAGCATACACACACACAAAAGAGACAAAGGACAAATTCATACATGGATATTTTTCTCTTTATTGTCTCTTTGTAACTGATAAAGAACATGTGATACAAACATAAAAGAGGCTTATTCATTTAGGTCATTCCATGAGATTGGGTTAATTGTTGTGACATACTAAAAAAAGGTTTAAAAAAAACACCAACAAACTAGTAAATCTGTTGTCAACCCAAGAACATTCATGGTACATATTTAATAGTAGCTATCATTCTAGAGTTACACAAACTTGATGTATTTTTGTCCCCTCAACATAATGAATTGTCCCAATTTGGCAATTTGACATTTATCTCTTATTTAAAACTTTCAACAAACAAATAATTTCATGAACAACATAAAGCACAGTATATCAAAATTACAAGGTAATTATGGTCCTTGAATTCACATGAACGTAAATGTTGAAGTACATGGATATTTCAGAGAAAAAATACAGCTATTGAGTTAATCGTAATCTATGAAAATTGAAAAGATATTTTTTCTCATCATCTGAATAAAATCCTTCAACCAAGAGCTGAAACATGTGACCACACCCCTTTTTTTGGTAGGGGGGGGGGGGGGGGGGGGGGGGGGCAGAGGAGCTAGGTGTACTTTCAAGATTATATCATTCAATTCAATTCTTGTTTTCAATGACATTCTGACAAAAGGATTATAATTAAAGAGGGAGTTTACCCTAATACATGTATTAAGTTGGTTTTAATAGAAGCAGAAAAGGCAAAAGAAAAGATTTAAAATAAAGTCATCAATTTTAAAGGTTCAATCAATCCAACACAAATTGGAAACTCTGTGACTTCTCTTGCAAGGTACCCTCCCATTTAACCTCTGTACCCCCCAACAAATGTATAATTTTTCTAGAGAAAAGTTTCAATAAAAAATGTTGCCAATTTGTTTTTCACTGCTGACGACTTTGAAAGTTCATAACTTTCCTATTTTTAATGGGATGTGGCTTATACTTTCACTATTAAAATCATTTCTCTCATTTTTCTGCTTTTTATTTAAACCATCTTAATATCAGGTTGGACTTCCCCTTTAAGTATTTAAAGGCAAAACAAACATAAAACATATAGCATTTACAAGAAGAGCTAACAAAAACATATCGTGCAAATCCAAACTGCTTGCATTCTACAATTTTTTTCCAGTTTATTTAATATATCTACGTATGTCGAGTGAATAATGATGCTCAAAACTCTTCTCATTAAAATGTTGTTTTGCTGTCGAGAAAAAGAAAAGAAAAGAAGAGCTAACAAAATGGCAAATTAAGGCAAGTTTCAGTTCATCAAACTGGTCAAGGAATTTACAGGGCTCTCTTAGCTGCTTTTGATGTTGATGTTTTACTGGCTTTTATTAATCTAAATGAAAACCAAGTCACCAAAATCGTTTGTAAAGACAAAAGCAATGAGCAGAATGCATGAACTGTGTATAAACATAGAGATTTACATTCACAGCTCGGAGGTGCTGAAGCCTCAAAACCCCTACCCATTTTAAAGGGTCATTTTTGTGGATTTTTTTTCTCGAAGTAAAGCCCATTTTTCATGCTTCTTGGTAGCGAAATTGTTTTAAAAACTAACTTTCATTGAAAATAAAGTCTTGACACATTTTCCCATTAGGATTCATTTCTTCAACTCAAATACTGCATTTCGAACCTCTCTTTTGAGTATTACATCACAATTCATGTTTAATACTCTACTAAGTTGAAAGAACAGTAACGCAAAATAAATAATCTTTAGATATCCTGATCATCAAATATATTTTCTTTTGAGTTATCTTATATCATCATGAGTTTCCCAGCAAGGGTTGTGCAGCGCCCTCTCTGGCCAGTTTGTCTGCTTTCTCGTTTCCATACACGTTCTTGTGACCTGGGACATATTCCTGTCAAATAATACATCAAAAGAATAATTAAAGTATATGTAACTGTGTCTTTTATCTTTCATCAATTTACTATCCAATTCCCTGTTCAGTTTGTCTAGATATTATCATATGAAAGAAGTGATTTTGTTTTCTCATAATCAACTTGATATCAATTTCTCTCTCAAATTTAATCTGCTTCTTCAGGTTGAATAAATATATTTGTTTTCTAATCCATTTGATATCCAGTTTTCTGTTGAATTTATCTAGCTAATCTGTGTCTCATTAAAAAGAATGAACGATTTTGTTTTCTCCTAATCAACTAGATATCAATTTCTCTCTCAAATTTAATCCGTTTCTTCAGGTTGAATAAATATTTTCATTTCTAATCCATTTGATATCCAGTTTTTATGTTGAGTTTATCTAGCTAATCTCTGTCTCATTAAAAAGAATACATTTTGTTTTTTTCTCACCCATTTGACATCGAGTTCTCTGTTGAGTTTATCTAATTTGACCAGATCATCTTTATTAATGACATCAGTCTTCTGTGCCGTCTTCCAGCCATTCTTTTTCCATCGGTGAATCCAATCTGTAACACCTTTTATAGCAATAAAAGGAAAATGCAAGAAAGGTAACAGAAAACTTAAAAGCTTATAATCAAATAGGGAAACATACTAAAAGAGATATTCAAGACAAAAGTTACACATTTCTTTCACTATGTATAAAACACAATTTTAAGATGGTAAAGAGAATGGCTTTTGCTTAAATACATCAAATGAAACAATAATGATTTGCTTGATTGCTCACAGGTGTATCCCATGGTTACGTTAGTAATTTAACCCTCAAACTTTTTCAACATTTCATGAATGTCATAAGTAGTACCGGTACTCATAGTATTTAAAGGCATTTGTGTTGTAATGTCTAAATTACTGCAGACGTAACTATTATTAACTTAACATAATTGTTTAATTGAAAGAGAGAGATAGAGAGAGAGAGAGAGAGAGAGAGAGAAAAGAAAGAGAGACAGAGACAGACAGACAGACAGGGAAAGGGTCCACAAACTGGTAGACATATAACTTTTCTCACATTTGTATTCAATATAGTTTAAAAAGACAACGAGATAAAATAATTGTGTCGGAAAAAGGAAGTTGAACAAAATGATACTTACAATTGATTGTGTATTTGCTGTCTGTGTATAATGTCACTGTCCTTCTTTTATGATGTTCATTGATCTGTTCTAGTGCTCTCAAGGCTGCCTACATGGGGGAAAAAAGGTTAAAGATAAAGGTGAGTTCTGGTAAAAAAAAAAAAAAAAAAAAAAATTCTCACAGAATCAAACAAAACTTACACTGAATGTTCAAGATTACAAATAAATGTCATTTGCCAAACGATTTTGGTAGAAAATGTGTACTGGCCGAGTAATGAGCATAGATCCCGGGGCATAGATAGATTAGGAAACCAAGGTTAGTAGCCCCGACACCATTTGTGTAGTCCCATATACATCTTTCTGTGTACCGTGCTTGTTACTTCACCAAGACTGGGCCAAATTTATTATGATTTTGATGACACCGGAACTTTGCAGTACACACCAATGCTTACATGCTACATGATCAACTTTTTCTGATCCATTCCACACTTTTTTCTCACAATGCAATCGGATGACCAGAACTCACCTTTATCTTTAAACATGTGTTTGATACCCTTTTCTTGTCATATATCATTCAATAATGGGGAAAATTGAAGACAAAAGAAGAGAGAAGCAATACACAGAAAGAGGAAGAGATAGAGAGTGAATGGCAGAGAGCTACAGAGAGAGAGAGAGAGAGAGAGAGAGAGAGAGAGAGAGAGAGATAGGGGAGGTGGAGGAGGAAGGAAGAAGGAAATGAGAGCAAAAGAGAGAAAGAGAGGGAGAGAGAGAGAGGGAGAGAGAGAGAGAGAGAGCATAGACTATGAGGCATTCTAAGCCAAATTAAAAGTAATGTGGAAAAAGACATAAAAATAGTACATACAATTTTGAAGAAAAAAAAAAATGTTTTTTTCTTACTGTAAGCTCTGCTCTCTGATTGGTCTGTTTTCCTTCTAATCTAGCACTGGTATTGAGTGGATGATTATCACCCCAGTAAACCCCTAATCCTGCCTTGGCTCCACTGAATCCATTATGACTGCACGCTCCATCTGTATACACTACCAGATTGTCTGATCATAAAACAAAATCGACAAAGTTAAGAAAAGAAATATAAATGATGGTCAAACATACTTGGCAGGAGTATCTTTTTATAATATCAATGAATGTTCACTATTATTGTTTTTTTCCTCTTTATATTCCACTGGTGTAAAAAAAAAAAAAATTATATCAGTTTTGAATGGTAAACATCCTGCTACTCACCAATTAGCGAAATATAGTGATTGTTTTTTTTCTCAGGGGGGGGGGGGTGGCTTACCAAAACCTTACAAGGCACTTTTAACTTTAAGCTAGAAACATTTGACTCAACATAATAAATATAATAGCCAGACTACAGCATTTAGGAGTTTATTATGTAGATGGAAGTTATCAATGTACTAAACTAGCCCAAACTTTGAAATTGAATAACGATAGTCAGTTATCACAATGAGAATATACACTCTCTCTCAAAAAAAAAGAAAACTTTCTTATAAGAAACTGAAAATTTAATGACAATGACACTATTTGATGAATATTTAAGAGTAACCTCATCCTGTAACTAGCCTGTAAGTATGCCAACTGAAGACCAGATAATATTTAATGACTTTTCTTGCCCTGTGAAGAAGAAAATCAACTGCTTACCACTAGAGTATCCAGAAGTTGATGGTGCTGTTGAGGCTGATGCAGTGCGTCGTTTCTTTTTAAGTGATGGGTCTACCGAGTCTGTTGAATACAAACGCTTAAGAGGCGCAGCGGAGTAAGACCGTTTGGAACTAGAAGCAGTTGAAGAGACACCTTTTGCCAGAAAAGAGCTCCATGGTTGTGGTGCAGAGCTGCATGATTTTGGTGCAGAGCTGCATGATTTTGGTGCAGAGCTGCAGTCATTTGTTGCTTCCACAAAGTCCCAAGCCTCCGCTTCCGTCCCAAATTTCTTGAACTTGGCCCCAGGAAACCCTTTGACTTGAAGTTCACACTCACCCCTGCAATGAACAGTAAATAAAGATATGAAAGCACAGAACACAGCTTTAAAAACAGCTTTAAAGGGATCGTTTAACAATGTTAAATCTGAGATGCACGGCCCTACGTGTTATCAGTGTCTGTGAGATGGTGTAATATTGAAGCCCTAAAAAAATTGCGCTTCAAAATGATCAAGAAGTGCCTCAAAAAAGTAAAAATCTTTGAGTGACCGGTTTTACCATACTCGTTTTCCCCAATAGACTGTAGTGTAATGAAAACCGTCAGGCGAACGGTTTTCAAAATTTGTACTTCCAATCATAAATATCTTGATAATCAGACAGGCGATCGGCTTGTAAAAGTCATGGAGTTCCTGACTGACCTAAAGGTTTATAATTATCATTGCATCATGAGCTAAATCCAGAATTTTGTTTCAGAATCTGAGACAAAATTACCGGATCCCTTTAAAGCTGGACTTGACAAACACTGGAAGAAGGAGCAGTATAATTCACCCTTCTCCCAGTAGACACTCCAATTATGACATTCCTGATATGACCCAGCAAGCAAGATACAGATGTAAGATGACTATGGTGCAAGACCCGGAAGCTGGGACACCCCCCCCCCCCCCCCCCCCCCCCCCCTCTTTGAAGTTAGACCTGGAAGCTTGGCAGCTGGAGACGGCTTTCTTCCAGAAGCTTTGGTAATCAAGGTATTCAAGGTATAAAGAATAAACTCATGTAGATAAACCCTGTATAATGAATGGATATAATTAATAGCTAATCATGATAATTGATATCTCAACATTGGACTGTAACATGCTAGACCAAAAAATCAGTATAATTCGTTCAAGGATATATTCTGCCGAGACTACGTCTGGCTTCACTGGCCGCATCTGTACAGAGACTGAAGTACATTGTATGGGGTAGTGGATTGGAGGGAATGGCTCGGTTTGGCTGGACCTAAATGAATGAGACCAAGTGTGACTTTTAAAAGTGCAAACTGGCCAAAGCCATGATGAATGATGATGCTACAAATCATGACACCACACATACACAGAGCTACCAAGTATCACGCATTTCGAGGGTCTGAAAATGCTCTTACGCACGATGTGCGTGCTAGATTTTGAAAAAACGCTATACCTTATACGTGTGTTATACCCTCGCACGCGCGTTTGCGCGCCGAATCATGAAAATGTCATGCATTGCCGATCTTTGAACTTCGCGTCTCTGCATATAGTGTGTCAAACAGCGGCAGAGCTATAGACTCTACCTCAGCCCGGCTCTAGAACAGTTTTGCCAAAGTTATGTTGTTATTTTTGTTGAAATATCTCAAATAGTTGAAATACCACACAACATGAAATCACAAACTCTCTTGATTTGAATCCACTAAAAATAATTAGGGGTCTAGAATCTAATACCCTTGCAAAATAACGGATAATTGTTACGATAGTCAAAATTCATTTAGATCTAGATCTAGTCTTTTTAATTTCAGATTTATAAAAAAATAATTCAATCAAGAATTCAAAACAGAATTATTATTAATTAGGCCAAGATCTACTCTCAGTCATGATGATGATTGATGGATATGGTGTCTGACACCTGGTTTTACATCATATTTGACAATGGGTGGGCCAATACATTACCATGTTGGAAAGACTCCCGTCTGTTTGCCTCTTCCTACGGCATAGAAAAAACGTCCCATGCTTTTAGCGTGAAGGCATGTCAGTGAAAGCACCTTGCGGATCATGAATATTAATTAGGTTACTTGATTCATTGTAATTTAAAATATTTACTACTCGAAATTAAATCCCGACTGACGATCAAAACAATTGTTACATCTAGTTCGGCAACTTTTTGTTATATTTTTTCAAGGATATAACATATGTCATCAGGGACTAGAGAATAACAATACACCCAGTAGTTTTATTAAAAAAGTGAATTAAATGCAAATAGTTATTAAAAAATGTTTTTTGTAATTTGTATGAAACATACAAAATTAATTTGTCATTTAAAGTTTAAAAACTAATGCATTAAAGCAAACAAAATAAAGCAAACGCCTTGAAAGATTCGGACTTGCCAATTTGAAGAATGAAATAGTAGATGATCAATATGAATTGTCTCCTCGGTCTTTTTCCAAGTACCGTCATTTGTAAGTCGTAGCAAAACCCTCTATGATAATTGTAAATCTTTTTATATGAAATTTTACCAAGAATAAAAGGTCAAAACATGAATAAACGTATTAATATGTTTCTTACCCTCAATATTACTTGAAAAAGTAGTGGAAATTATTTTGATTGTGGATGATGAATGTGGATGTTATTGAAGGTGCACTGCATTCATCACTCACAATTTCCACCGTAGACACACCGGGCAATGCAATGCCGATGTATTTTATTTTTTTAGACGACCGAGTAGAGTGTAGAAATGAAGAAGTGTATTGATATTAATCCAAGGAGATTGGTGTGGATTGGAGTAAATTACACTCAGGGTATTAGTTTTTGTGTTATTTCATTTATTTTGTATTCCAAAATGTCCTGTAAATATGACAAATTCTGGCATTCCCGTAAAATATGCCACCAAATAACCATAGATCTAGTGCTAGTCTACCCCCAAGACCCAGGCCATGGCTTTATGCATGTCGTGCCACTGTTTTTTTTTGTCTGATCGGACCAACTTTTATATAATAATACACTGTATATTGTGGATGTGGATAGCCTGGGAGAATGCAGAGAACATGCTTGTGATGCTTTATGCTCTCTTCTGTGAAATTGGGGTTTTAAAGTTTAAACCCACCTCTCGGTCTTGTCATTGTGCTCAGTCAGGCCTTAAAAAATTCAATATTTTTAGGGCAAGGCCACTTTTCTGTAGGGCACATTCCTATATTACAGCACAAATAGAAAGAATTGGAAAGGGCAAACAAAATCTCCAAGGCCAATGAGAGGGGCATTGAGGCCAATCAAAAGGGCATCCACGGCCATGGCCTTGCCTTGGACCCTTGGTGGCCTTGGATTAATTTAAGCCCTGCTCAGTCATGCGTCATGGTCATGTTGAAAGGAAATCCAACCTTAAGTTAACTAGACAATGCAATGGGCTACTAAAATCTGTAACTTTTTTTTTTTTTTTTTGGGGGGGGGGGGGGGGGGGAGTTTTAGTCATTATTAAATCAGTACTGTTGAGGAGCGCTGTTCCGAAAATGAGGATCGCCCGCACAAACAAAGATATCTTCGTAAACATGGACAAATCACATTAAAAAAAATAAGGATTGCAGACGTTTTTTTCTTCTGTGGATGTAGGGTCCCAGATCCGCGCGTTGGAAATGCGAAAAGCGGAGTCTGCGTACTAAAATACTCCTTTACTGTCCACTTTTATGGGTTGTCCGTCTTTTTGTGGATTCTTCATTAATAACATGGAAGTCTCTGTAGGGCAAGGGGCATTTTGTGTTGCCAACGCGCGGATCAGAAATATGAATCGGACTCTACTCGCCCCTTCCGGCACCCACATTAGGTTTGTTTACTTACTCTCTGAATGAGGTTAGGTCTAGATGGTGAATATCAAAGTGAACAGTCAAAAAGAGGTATCTTTTGGAGGAATCTGCTCCATCACATTTCCAAGTTGAGCCAAGGCAGGCTTAGCATTAAATTTACACAAAGATAATTGGTCTTTCCTTAGGATTGAGCAATTTCTTAGTACCTCTAGATCTAAATACAACTTCAAAACTTAAATTTTATCTTTTTACTCATGTTTATCTATTGTTATTATTTTTTTTAATGTTTTTCTTTTGGGGTTTGTTGATGGTGTCTTTCAGATTTAAAACTTATATTGTACCAATTTGTTCATCTGTTGAGTTCACCATTCACATTGTATACATGCATACAGTTCCTCCATCTACCTTTGTTTATATCTGAATATCTGTCCATTCTAATTCTTTGTAGCCAAGTTACCATGGCTTCTGAAGTTTCGCTTTTGGACAATATCAAAACACAGAAGACTTTTTTTTTTACTTGTACAGACATTCATAAAGCCTTGCAAAATGGTTATCTGTGTACATTAGCGATTTGCTTACCCGTACCTCCATTTCAGCTTGGAGAATAACTTGCAACTAGGCTACCATACTATCGATCTTGACAAAAGTTGATTCCTCCGTGGTAGTTTCAATCACCACCAAGCTCTATCCCTGGACTCCACAGGGTAACCCTAATCCCAAACCTAATCTAAAACCTAATCTCTTTTATGAAATAAGGGCAATTGTTGATGTTGTATCACCTCAATTTTATTTCATTTGTTTGTTTTTAGCGTGACATCTTGAGGCCAAGATGGCGGTGTTTAATGCAGGTGCGAAGGTGATCAAGCCTCAGGGCGAAAGTGCAGACCCATTTGAACTCACAGTTTCACAGGTAAGATCATATGTATGGTCCTTCAGACTCTAAGGCCTAAACAACAAAAAAATATGTTGTATTGCCCTCTGCGACCGACCCCATAATCTTGAAATATACGGTTAGCTTTTAATTTATTTTTTTTTAAACCTTTTGTTTTAGAAAAAAAGTATTAAAGCATTAAAAACTGATAAATTTCGGCACAAAGAGTGAGAGAAAAAATGCGGACCGGTGACGTATTGACTCGACCACGACACCTCTAAGTATTTGTAAATGCAACTTTCAAAATTGAATTCTATGTTTTACTTTGTTTAGCTATTGTTCATTATTTATTTTTTAAATATTTTTGGTGTCTTTCAGATTAAAAATGTATATTGTACAAACTTGTTTATCTGTTGTGTTCACTGTTCACATTGTATACATGCATACAGTTCCTCAATCTACCTATGTACATATCTGTCCATTCTAATACTTCGTAGCCAAGTTACCATGGCTTCTGAAGTTTCGCTTTTGGACAATATCAATATCACAGAAGACCTTTCTTTACTTGTACAGACATTGCTAAAGTCTTGCAAAATGGTTATCTGTGTACATAAGACTAAACTAGCTTTATTTAAGTGCAACAATGAATAGGGGTTTACTGGTGACATTTCTTATTAATAGAAATCTTCATGGTAATTTTCTTAAATTCCTTTTGCACTTTCCAACGTTTGTTCATGATTTGTGCCATTGTTAAAGATTTATGTAATATTGGATGGCCTTGAGTGTGATACAAGAATAAATTGCTCAAGCTATGACAATATTGGGCGAGTCAAAGACGAGTCTAATATTTTGACTTGCCCAATATTGTCTTAGCAAGAGTAATATATTCCTCTATCACACAAAAACAAAGACATACAATATTATTATCTATATTAGTCTGACTAGTGAAATAACAAAATTTGACTTAACTCAGTAAATATGGCTTTTTTTCCCTTGAGATATCGATATTGGTAGTTTAAGTTCCCGGATGACTGAGCAATACGAAAACAACATTGGTCAGTCATCCAAAGATATGGATTTCACTGATTTATTGTACCACTTGGAAGTCTTATATAGAAAATAATTGGTTGTTTTGTTTTGATTTGTAGGCTTTGATTGAGCTCGAGTCCAACTCAGAACTCAAAGGACAGTTGAGGGAGCTCTTCATCACAGGAGCAAAGGTAAGAAAAAGTGGTAGCAGAAGAAGTGGTAGGGAAGGGGAAAGGGGTGTAGTGGTGGGGGGGGGGGGGGGGGTGTAGTGATGGTGGTGGTGGTAAAGGTGCTGATTTGGGGAGGTGATGGTGGTGGTTACTGGTATTGGTTGTGCAGGGGTGATGGTGGTGGTGGTGGTGGTGGTGGTGGCGGCCGGTGGTGGTAAAGGTGCTGATTGTGGGGGTGGCGGTGGTGGTTACTGGGTTTGGTTGTGTAGGGTTGGCGGCGGTGGTGGGAGTGATGGTTTTACAGGCCTTAAATTAATCGACGGCCATCGACGGCCAGGCCGTCGATGCCCCTATGACTGGCCGCGGTGCCCTCCCAAAAAAAGATATATTCACGGCCAAAAAGGCCGTGCCCTTTTTTCAAACTGGCCGACGTGCCTTTTTTTCCAACTGGACGTGCCCTTTTTATTTTAAATTTGCGCACATAAAACCACCAATTGCGCCCATAATCATCTAAAACTAGACGGCAAGGCGCAAGTGTTTTCCGTGAAAATGCGCCCATAAATTATTAGAACAGTAAAAATACACGAATCACGAACAGTTTGCCGCCCACGAGCTCTCTTCTAGCTTCGTATTTAGTGCTTTAATAAGGCGCAAGTGCCGTGAAAATGCGCCCTTTGTTATTATATAGGCCATGCGCTAGCGCACGTACGTACGTACGTTCATATTATGCGATCGCATGATATGCATGTGGTGCATGCTGTTGACGCACGCACGTACGATCGAAGGCCAGGATCAAGAAAATAAATCGTCAAATGGAGAAATAAACAAGCATTCAAATAGTCATTAGAGATCTGTCGAGGTTTGTTTGTAGGCCTAATTTATTATTTTATCTCAAATAGAATTTAGAATTATCTTATTAATAAGTTAAGAACACCTACGATGTTCTCGATCGTAGTTACTCTCATTTTGCCACCAGCCGACCTCGCTTCAAAAAGCTACCCCGCCAGCTTCCCAAGACGAACGTTTCGAGTCCCGGTAAAATTCCGAGGGTGCATCGGTTTCGCTGGCAAACTTCCAGCCCGACAGCTTCCCACCAAAAGTGGCGAGAGTGTGTGTGCGAGGAACGATTTTGGTTTCGTGAATGCACGTTACGCAACTGAGCTGAGCGTGTCACTTTCAGCTGTCGAATGTCTATAAGGACATTTTTACATCTTATTTCATTAGTTAGGCCTATGTAGACCTTTCTATACAACAGTTAAAAAGATAATTTCTTCAAATTTGCTCCTACTACCGAGAGAGTGGC